CAGAGGCACCTGTTGATAAAAAAGGAAGCACAAAATAATGATGTGTCTTGTCTGGTAAGAATAAATATGTCAATTTTTGAGTGGACCTTTATCTAGTATGGTACTGATTACTGAAAAAAATTTATGGCCAGGATCTAAATACCAAGCACTTTGAAAAACACAATGATTGTAATTTTAGCAGCACTTTCACAACAGATGGTGCTGTGTATGCAGGTGTGGGGGTGATCTTGACATTTTGAGATTCCCAGAGATTCCTCCTGCCCCCTCTTTCTTTGAGTTCAGGGATTGAGGGTGTCTCCATTATAGAGTTTTGGTTGTAGGCAATAAAATCAGCTCTGACCCACTCAAGAGAAGAGGAAACCTTTCCAGAGGACAGAGTAGTAGAGACAGTGACCAGACGGCAGATCCCATGGGATGTCCCGCTGAGGATCCCAGCTGGATGGACAACACGCTGCATTTCCTTCCAGCATCACTGTGCTTGGGACAAAATTCCCATAAGACAGTCCAAGACCGAAAGCATGGTCACGTGCTGTTCATTAGTTAGGAACCTCAAGGGACTTTGATGGCTTCACAGGCTTCAAAAACACTGCATGCAGTGGGGTTCCCTAAAGGAAACTAGGAGGTATTATTAAAGGAAGAACCGGCTTCTAGCAGGTACTCGTGACACCATCCCTGACTTTGCTTAAGGAAATTCCCTGATTCAAAAAGAAAGCTGCTTTTTACTGTTTTCTGTAATCTAAGCTTATCTGAGCTTTGTTTTCATTCTTCGCTGACTTAATGAACGTTCAATGATCAGCCTGAAAGCCAGTGAACATGAATTTTCTGTCATCATGAAGGGACCTAGTGAGCGGCTTCTCTGTTGCCGGAGAGGCTGGCCACAGGCAGGGCCCGCAGAACATGTTCTCGGAACTTTTGAAAGCTAGAAGTCTGACACTAAGAGGTCCGCAAGGCCATGCTCCTCTGAAGGAAGGCTTCAGGGAGGACTTTGTCCTTGCCTCTACCAGGCGTCTGGAGGGTAGTGGGGCAGGGGGCTGGCAGTCCTTTGCTTGGCCCTAATCACTCCGGCCTCATGTTCATGTGGCATCCTGTGTGCCTTCGTCTGGCTGTGGTGCCTTCCTTGCTGCCTTAGGGACATCAGTGATGGGGTTTCGGGCTCACTCTAAACCAGTGACCTCATTGGCTCTGTTCCTAACATTTGGGGTTCCCCCAAATTCATATGTTGAAATCTTAACCCCCAAATGGGATGGAATTAGTAGGTGGAGCCTTTGGGGGTATGCTTATGTCATGCAGGAGGAGCCCTCATGTGTGGTATTAGTGCCCTTATAAAAGAGACCTTCATCCCTGCCACTACTGGCCAGGACACTGGCCGGGACATTGGCCGGGACACTGGCTAGGAAATAGGAAGAAGTACTCTTATCCAGCCATGCTGGCATCTGGACTTCCAGCCTCCAGAATAAAATAAATACATTTATTTAGCTTATTGTAAGAAAATTTCTATTATTTATATGCTACCTAGCCTGTGATATTTTTGCTATAGCAACCTGATTATACTAAGAAAACCAGTATGACCTCATCTTAACTTACAACTTTAATTATATCTGCAAAACTCTATTTCCAAATAAGGTCCTCTTCACTTTTCAGCTGAACGTGCATTTTTCAGGAGAGGGTGGGGGAGGTACATTATTCAACCCAGTACAAGCAGAGAATGGAATTGGCTCCTCTGGTGGTTGATGAAGTTAACTTTAGATATTAAAAACAAATAGATTTAACCAGGAATTCATTAGGAAGGAAGATTCCTTCAAGTGGATTTAGCAGGGACTTTTGTTTTCCGACACTAAACACCTTTTTGAAGTGTTTGGGTTTTAGAACTGGGGAAAAAGGGTATTATAAAGTTCTTAGATAAGTATGTCAAAACTTAGTTTTAAGGAGTCTAATGTTGAGTTAATTACATTGTTTTGCTCTGAGGACAAGATTTTTTTTTTTGGATGACTTAATGCCTTGCAACCTGGGAATTCTTACATCTTATTGTTTCCCTTTATCTCAGTGTGTTGCCCCCTGAGCTTCAGGACTACTTTTGTTTCTGGTCTGCCCCTCTCACCTTCTTTTCCCCAAATTTAGAACTGATAATACTTTGAGTTACCTTAAGGGAAGAAAACAAGGGGTCTGGTCTCTAAGGGAGATTCAGAAAGAGACCAGGAACTCAGAAACATGAGGTGCTTCATCCCTCTCAGCTTTTCCACTCCCTCTGGACTAAGTCACAGAGATGTGGTTTCCATGGTGAACTGCAGGCATGGCTGCAGAGACTTCTCTGGGTGTCAACTCAGCGATTTTTTTCAAATCTCATATAACACAGCAGTCATATGGAGAGATGCAACTGGGTTTGAATTTTGTGGCCTTTTTACTTTTCCTGATGCGGGTCTGCTCTGCAGAATTAGGGTGGGATTTTGAGCAGTGAGGCTGGAATGGTAGACAAGGACCAGATGACCAGGATCACTGAAAATGATCTAAAAATGGACTTTATCCAGAAGGTGTCTCTTTCTCAAATTGTGGTGCCAGACCACCTACATCAGAATCCCTTGTGGGTATGTGTTAAAAATGTGGATTCCTGAGCTCCACCCAGACCTCCTAAACCAAAATTCAGGGAGTGGCTCAGAAGTTTGCATTTTTTGCAAGCACCCTAGGGGATTCTTGTGCCAACTAACTCTTTAGAATTACTGCTATCAATCACATGGATCCTGACAGGCTTGGGTTTATAGCAGGAGTATTTAGATATCACAGGAAGAAAGTGATGTTATAATCTAGCTTCTTGTGAAACACAAATTCTGTGCTAACGATGGGCAGTGTACTATTTCAATTGTTTTAGATACACTAACTCATTTAGTTCTCATAACAACTCCAAGGCTAACTTTTGTTACTATCTCCAAATTCAAGATGAGGAAACTGAGGCACAGAAATTACACCCAAGTTATGTGACTTCAGAGCCCATGTCCTCAACTACAATGTTGATGTAACTACAATGTCCTCTTGTAACTACAAGAGCCCACGTCCTCAACTACAATGAGATGTAACAGTGTGGTGGTGATCTTTTGCAGGAGGGACTTAAAAAAGGAGTCTAGTACAACCAAGAGGATGATGAAACCATTAACCAGAACCTGAATGTGAAGCTGTGCTGGTTTTTATGTACTTATGTCTTCAGTATCTCCTGTATTAATTGTAAGCTCTTTAAAGGTAAGGACACAGGAATCATGCATAGCTTCCCTGATGTTACACCTGTCAGGTGCACGGGCAGCGGACACACACTCAGGGGTCAAGTTTCTTGCTGTGTGGTGAGTTAGTGAATGTCAGCTTCTCCAATGAAAAGAAGGGTGCTTTGAGACCCATGATGTTTCTTCCACTTTAAAATGGACAAGGCTGCAGGGGGTGCCACTCCGAGGGGTGCCACTTACTTGGCTTCTCATAGATCACATGAGCAGTGGCATCCAGAACTGTGCCAGCTGGGGCTACTGAGGAGGAGGGTTAAGTGAGTCAATGCAGGTTTAGGTCATGTCTGGGATATGCAAGTAGTTATTGTTATCTCTGCATTTCTATAGTTTGAACATCTGGTGACTGAGATCCTATGATTTTTTTCCTCCTAGAAACAGGGAAAGTGAATTTCACTTTGAGGGGCAAAAATAGCTTATAGGCTCTAAGCTGTCTTAACTGTCTTATTTTCCCTGACCAACTACCTCTATTGAGTTCTTTTGCCCACTTTTCTAGCATCTTCTTCTGTGGAAATTTCCATTCCAGGCAAAGGAGGAAAGCACAATCCTTGGCTGAGGCTGAATTGACCAGCCTTCTCCCTTGACTGGCTGGCTGATAGCTGACCAAAGTCATCTGTGGACAATACACTTACTTCCCAGTGGAGGCTGCTTTGCCTCGGGTTGAACACTCACTGCTGGGACATCTGTACATGGTTGCAAGAAGCCTGGAGAAACAGAAGTCGGTGTTCACAAACTACTTCTATATAATAATTTTCTTTCTTTTTTAATTTATGCATGGAAGAGGTGAGGTATAGGCTAGAGGCACAGGGGTGGGGGCGGTGAGATGATTCACCAGAGACAGAGTGGGGAGCAGAACAGGCAGATCTACTGAAATACACTGCTGAGGGGCGCAGCAGGCAAGTCAGGAGAGGTCTGCTTCACTATATGGGTTAGTCCCTCGCTAGGGATTGAACTCATGTTGCAGTGACTGCTGATAGCTTCATAGTGCTGAGACTTTAACTCCTGCACCACTAGGGAAGACATTCTATATAATCATTTTCTAAAGAAATCTAGACTACAAAAAATGTTTTCTATTGGTCCTAAACAATATTAATTAGGCAAATATACATGTGTACATTATCTGAGGATTTGTGATCTCATATTTAAATCTGGAAATGGTGCCATCTGAGGAATTTCAAGATGAAGTTCAGTTTCTATTTTTCATTCATCATCCAATGGACTTGCATTGAGAGTTTCCTGACTCCATGTCAAGCATACATTACATGTCAATGACCCTGTATACTATTTATGTAGATTTGAGGTCAGAAGATTGTTTTAAAAATTCTTTACTACTCATTGACTTTGCCAGCTCGTTGAGCTTCAGGTTTTCTGCTCTATCTCCCAGGGGTGCTCTAGGAGTGAAATGACTTTAGACACAGCATGGAACAGGGAGATGTCACCTTCAGGACTATGGGCCAGGGCAAGCCTTGATTGTGAAGGTAACCATGGAATTCTTTCTGAACAAAGAGCACGTTTAGGTGACCTCTGTCACTAGAGACAACAGGAGCTGTTGTCTTGCGGTGGTGGGAAAGCAAGTTTTAGACCACTTGCTTTATCGCTGGATTAAATATTGAAACCCATGACAGTTTTGCCTCAGTAATCCTCTAAGGCCATTTGACACCAATCATACATTTCTCTCCACCACTTTTCTGTCTCAATGACAGTTTCCTGATATTATATTGTCATAATAGACCTGTTAGTTTGCAGGAAAAACTCTTTCTGCCTCCCTAGGGATGGGCTCCCAGAAAAGCCAGCCTGAAAGGAAACTGAGGCATGGACAGGTAACAAATTTCTTATTGTGCTTATGTATTTCTACTGGGTATGGGCTCAAGTGATTTCCCTGAAATTCTAGCCCATCAATGGCAGAATAGAAGGTTGAGGTGAGTGTTCTTGCTTGGTCCTCTTCACCAGGTCAGAGTTGAATGGTGTGGGGGAGGTCAGGGTCCCTCTTGATCAGCCCATAAACTCTGGAATTTGGAAAGACAACATTTGATGAGGCTCCAGTCAGTCTCTAGGCAGCTTAGAAGTTCCAGAAAGCACTGATTGCTCTTGAGGATCTTATAACAATCTCTTTAACTTCAGACCCATCCTGCTCATTCATTAAACTCTCACTGTCTGTGTCTGTTTCTTTAAAAAAAAAAAAGATTTATTTATTTATGCATACAAGAACTGGGGTACAGGCCAGAGGTGTGGGGGTGAAAGGATTCACCAGAGGCAGAGGGGGCAACAGAACAGGCAGATTGACTGAAAGACACTGCTGAGGGGAGCAGCAGGTGAGGCAGGAAAGGTCTGCTGCATCATGTGGGTCACCTCCCCGACCAAGTGCTACTGTGGCTGCGGATTGCCTCATAGTGCTGCATCTTAACCCCTTGCGCCACCAGGGAGGTCCTCTGTCTGTTTCTTGGGCCACTGTGGGCCTGGCCACTTTTGGATCTGCCCTGTCTTGGACACCCATTAGCCACATGTGGCTGTGAAGCTCTAGAAATGTGGCTGGTCTGTATTATCATGCGCTGTCAGAGTAAAATAGCCTGAAAACTGAATATAAAAATAAGAGTGTAAAATAGCTCATTAACAATGTTAAAATATTGGTTACATATTGAAATAATAATGTATTAAATATATTGAACTAGATAAAGTATACAGATTTCTTCTACTATCTGAAAGTAGAACATTCCTATTTTGTATGGTTTAGTAAGTTATTTTGGGGGGCCTGGGAACACTCAGGGATGTTTCCAAATAAATTAATGGCAAAGCGTTCCCAGATCACAAAAAATAAGCCACTAACGCATGCCAATTAGGAGCATTCTACTTTTGAATAGTGGGAGGAAACCTGTATTTAAAATTTAATTCTACATTTTTTTTAATGTGGCCACTATAAAGTTAAAATTTGCCCATGTGGCTCATATTATATTTCTATTGGGGAGTACTTGTCTCAGTTCTAAGATTCAGAACTCAGATGAAGATGTGTGGCCAGAAGAGACAAGATGTGGCCTTCCTTTAGGGGTCATCTCTCACTTGCTGTAAGTCTGCCCCCCTCCACCCCTCCCACTCAGGCTGGGAAATACTGTGAACTCAATCACACTTCTTCTTTGACTTGTTTTAAAAACTCTGAAATCCTACTAATTGGTTGGATCTTAACACCTTATTTTGAAAAGTACTTCCTAACTGGTATGGGGTGAACTGTGAACACAAAATTCATCCATTGAAGTTCTTCCTACTCCCCATCAGAATCCAGCCACAGGTGAGAATCAAGCCTCTGAGAGATGATAGTGTTAAATTAGGCTGTTTAGTGGGTATTAACCTATCTGTCCTGATCAGAATAGGAAAGTTGAGCATGAGAGGAGGCATGAGTGGTGTGCACAGAGGAAAGGCCCTGTGCAGACACTGAGCAGGTGGCATCTGCCAGCCAAGGAAGAGACCTCAGAAGAATCCAGACGGCCACCAGCTCAATCTTAAGACTTCAAGCCTCCAGAACTGCGAGAAAATTCTGTGGTATTTTGTTATGGTTGCCGGAACAAACTAATACACTAACTTATTTCTTAGTAGAACTGGAGAACACTTAAGCAACAAGAGAAAACTGTTTCTCCAAGGCCAGAAATCTGGCTTCTTGCAACGGTCTGTTGGGACCTCAAAGAGAGTTGCAAACATTTCTCTCTCATGTTGTTTCTGCCTGAGCTCTGTGTCTGTTTTCCAGTCCCCGTGTTCATATTGCATGCTCCTCGGTGTCCTCTTTGTTCTCTGACAGATGATGAAGATTTAAGAAGCAGTAGCGTCAGAGAACCAGTGTTTTGAAGAATCGAGGGAAGGGCTGGCTGCAAGATTTCATAAGTAGGTCTATGCAAACACACAGAATCCTTTCTTCCATGTCTAAAATTCTTTCAACAAACTCATTTGGGTGAAGGTAAGAGCTTATATATTCAAATATCCAGGAGATTCTGAACATATTCATTGGCAGAAAGGGTGTCATTTTCTAGAAAACTTATTTCTGCAGATAGTGGAGGTAATCAACTGTTTGGGAAGGAGGCTGCTGAGCCAAATGACCTTAAGAGTCTTCATCTAGTTTTAAGATCAGTAAGTCTGCAACTCTTTGTCCAAGGGTTTCATCCACTCTGAATGGGAGCTATCTCAGGGTCAGAGAGAGAGCAAGCATTTAGACCAGCCACATGTGGGGGGAAGAGGGTTGGGGTTTACCATAGTGGAAGCTTCATCTTCATAGGTATTTGCCCTCCACAGACAAAGTTACCATCAAAGCCTTTGCCTGGGAGTCAGCAAACTGACTTCTCAACCAGGTCAGTTACTGGGCTATGGCATGGAAGGCCTCAAGTAACATCAAGTCTCCTTAGAGACACTCTTTCAACTTTCAGAACATGTATCTATAAACTGGCATGAACCCAGAATTCACCGAAGGGAGAAAAATACAAATGATGAGGATAGACCCAAGGATTATCTTCTTGGCATTCCTTAGAACAGCTGTCTGGCAAATGTTACACCAAGTCTGAAATTATTTTAGCAACTTTGCCTTGAAGAAGAACATACAGGGAGAACACCAGACAGATTTGCCTTCATTTTTTTGTTACAGAAAAGAATTTCAAGGACATTTGTATGTTTAGTGAGATCACGCTGGTGATGGGCTTATTTTTTTTGAAATTTAAATCATGTCACATCTAATAAATGTACAGCCAAGTATAGCTATAGCACTGAGTTCATACTGATAGCTATTAAGGTTTTCTCCTTTTTTTAAAAAAGATTTATTTATTTATGCATATAAAACTGGGGTGTAAGCCAGAGGTGCGGCGTGGGGGGGGGGGAAGAGGATTCACCAGAGAGAGTGGGGCACAGAACAGGCAGATGCACTGAAATACACTGCTGAGGGGAGCATTGGGTGAGACAGGAGAGGTCTGCTGCGCCATGCTGCAGTGGCTGGTGATAGCTTGATAGCACTGTATCTTTAACCTCTGTGCCACCAGGTTTTCTCTTTCTTATTGCTTTTCCTCATGATCATGACAAATAGAATATTGTAAACATGTTTTAAACAAGAAAACTTCATCAAGTTTTAACAGAAGGCTAAATAAAATACAAATTTAATGGCAAAATAGCAAAAGATATCTGCTTTCTTAAGTTTCCTTTCAGGCCCCATGTTCTGGCCAAATGTCATATTTTCTGGTTCAGTGAAGTAGGATCTGTGAGGGGTGGAATAAAATTACAGCAAGACAAGGTTCAGTGTACCCGTGGGGTCTACGGCTGTGGGAGTGAGAACGGTCTACCATGAATACCTCACCATGTTCTTGTCTACAGTGCTAAGTGGAACCATTTGTCACTGTGTACCACTTACACCAAGGTAGTCTCTGATCTCTGAACACCTGACTTACTGCCATTTTCAAATGTCACTTCAGCAGTTCTAATGATGAAGTTTGGGATTGTGTGTGTGTGTGCGCGCGCGTGAGTGTGTGTGCACACTAGGGTAGATGAGAGAGTGGGGGCCTGTTGGGGATGAGATTTCCTTCTTAATCAGTAGCTCTGGCCTGAGAAGCTGAGAAAGGGTGACCATACTTATCAGGGACAAGAAAGGGACTATACAATGGGCAAGAAATATATTCAGAGGCTTGAGTGACAAATTGGATTCAGTTTGCTTTTTCCTAGTGAAACACGTAAAAATGGTTACAGCCCGAAGCTAGCCCATAAAAGATTGCTGATGCGTCAAGTGGGGGATATACCTGCATTTCCCCCTACTATTGTCACTGTGCATGGGAGGTGTTGTGTATTGGTTTAATTTTACACTAATTACAGGAAGTTTTTGAGATGAATTTGGAAATCAAACTATAATTTGTGACATCTTTTCTTCGTGATATTTTTTCTGAGCTCTAAGAAATAATTTAAAAAGAACTTTGGGAACATGGCAGGAGTGTGAGTTGGGGACATCTTGTTCCACTAGAGAAAATGGAAGGTGGTGCAGCTTCCTATGCAGCCATGTAAACACTCTGAGTGGTCCCTAGGCAAGTCATTTCTTTGAAAAAGCAGAGTTGTAATAGCTAGAGAGTCCAGTAGGTCTAGCACACTACATAGAATTTTTTTTTTAAAGATTTATTTTTTATTTATGCAATAGCTGGGGTACAGGCCAGAGGCACAGGAGGGTGAGAGGACTCACCAGAGACAGAGTGGGGAGCAGAACAGGCAGATGGACCGAAGGCACTGCTGAGGGGAGCAGCAGGCGCAACCAGAGAGGTCTGCTGCACCATGTGGGAATCTCCCTGGCCAGCCAGAATTGAACCCGAGCTGCAGAGGCTGCGGACAGCTTCACAGTGCTGAGCTCAACCCGCTGCGCCACCAGGGAGGCCCACTACATAGAACTCTTAATGTTTGCAGACTCCTTCCGTTTTCAATAATGAATAAAGTATGTGCTAACTTCATGTCTCCTCTTATTCATAGCCTTCATTTTCTTTCTCTTTTGTCTTGCCCAGATTATATTACGCTTGATTATAGGTTCACTGGGTGTTGTAGATTTCCTAAAGTTGGCAAGAAAAATAGACTTTCAGATTGACCCAGATAATACTGAGTGCATTAAGACAATGAAGAAGGAAGGGAGAGAAGCCAATCATTGGTAGACAAGAAGAGAGACACACTGTACAATATTTCACTGGAAACTCATCACTCAGCAGGAAGGCAGTAGAGAGCACAAGGAATTCCAATTCAGGAAGGTATATTGTTTGAGGGGTGGTAAGATGGTCTTAGTTTTGTTTCTCTTACACTCTGATAACACATTCATTTCTGGTGTTCCCCCCACCCCCGACCCCGCTTTACGAAAACCAGCATTTACAGCATAACATTTATTAAAGTGTTCTTTTAGATGGGAAACTTTTTCAATGTTCTTCAGTGTTTTCATTAAATGGATCAGATTTAAATGTAAAATGAAAGTACCATTGTTAACTACAGGTTGACTATAAAGGATGATCAGGATGGGTATGTAGACATTTACTGTACATACACAGTGTGCCAGGTTGCCCCAGCTGACAGGTTACCACACTGTCGTGGAGGAAGCCAGACTACTGTCTGGGCAAAGTGACAAAGAATGTTTAATAGTTACTACTTTGACTTGCTTTTGTATGAATTTCTTCTCTAAATGTTAAATTTTGAAATGATTTCATACTTAACCCCAAATTGCAAAAGTGATACAAAAAATATTTCCCCTGAGCTTGAATATTTAATTCATACAAACAAGGAAATTCCCATCTAAAATTATAATGCAATGGTTAAAATTAACATTGATACATTACTACCATCTAGTCCTCAGATCCCATTGGAATTTTGACAAGTAAATACTATGTGTGGTAACAAAAGGATCCACTGCAGGATCACCAGCTGCATTTAGTTGCCAAGTGTCTTTAGTTCTCTTTACTCGGGATGGGTCCTCGATCTTTCCTTGACTTTTATAACTTTGCTGCTTTTGAAGATGACACACTGATCACCTTGAAAGAGTCCCTCATTTTGCATTTGTCTGATATTCCTCCTGGTTCTACCCAGGCTATGTATTTCTGGCAGAATTCCACAGAGGTGATGGTGCATCCAACCAGGTGGCTGGATTTCAGTTTGACCTATGATCCGTGATTGCTCATCGTAGGCACTCAATTTAGGTGGTGCCTGTCAGGATTTTTCCATTATAAAAATGACTCCTTTTCTCTTTGCAATTAGTAAGAATTTCTTTGTGGAGGTACTCTGAAATTATGCAAATTTCTATTTTCAGCACACTTCCACCCACTAGTTTTAAAATCTGCTGATGTTTCTTGGTTGAATGAGTGATCGCTATGAGGGCTACCACAGGATGACTTTCTAATTCCATCATTTCTTCATTTCCATTTTACTTTAAGGAAACGCTTTCTCTCTTTATTTATTTGTATTAGTATGGTTTTACCAGTTCTCATCTTACTCAATGATTACAATTCATGACTACTATCATTTAGTTTGACAAATAGTCCCTAATTTAACCAGTGGGTGCACTTTCAAGCTGACTTCTTGTCTTCTTGATCTATCTCCATCATTCTTTGAGAAGCGGTAAGTCTTCCAAATGGTAGCTCCGCTGGGCTCAGTGGAAAGGGGGATTGTCTAGAGTTTGAAGACCTGGGCTGCAGCCTTCTTGGTTTCTTCCATTCCTAACTAGGTATACTTGGGAGACCTGACCTTCTGGTTCAGGGCTTAGAGTAGGGATAATCAGACCCTCCTCGGAGGAGTTGCTGTGAATTCGGCGGAGGGGGGAGATTGTAATCTGGATTGGCTTCCATACCTGGAGACTTTTCAGGATCATTCTGTGGGTGGGTGTATCATGATTGCCACATGAGTCGCGAGGTACCCTTTGAGACATATGCCTGTCCTGTTTGTAGCTTGCGAGAGTTTTATGTTTCAATTAAATATGTGTTTGAATGACTCTTTGCTCTCCCAGATGTTTGATACAATGCAGACTGGAATCCTTCCCACAAGGATGCACTGGCCTGGGTGGTATAGAGGTCAGTGCAGCTAAGCCACTTCCTAGGACGACAATCCCCAACCACTCTGGCGCTGGAGTGTTGCCTGCCTTATCTTCCATTCCCAGCAAAGCCCTATCTCAGCTGGCCTTCAGCCATAAAGCAGATGGAAAAGGGTACAGGCTGGCACAGGGCTCCAAGTCATGTCAAGGGAGCTGTGTAGAGGCAGGGATCCAGAACCAGGAATGTCCCTCATGGTTGTCCAGGGTGCGGGTGGGTAAGAATGGCATGTGAAGTCATTTGTAATTTGGCCCTGCTTGGTTTTTAAGGCTTAGAGGAGATTATGGCGATGGCTATAGAAGAGTCTGGCTCAGTGCCTGGTGTAGTCTCTTGCCGCTCCCCTGACAGTCATGGAGCTCACAGGCCATTTGCTGAGTGTTTCACACAC